GGCACTCTCACCTCCGGCCATGCAGAGTGGGGGGAGCCCCTCAGCCGACAGCACTGGGTGTCAGATCCCAGCCACGTGTGGTGCTCCAGGATCCGTCCCCAGGATGGATGTAGTGCAGTGCTCTTGCCTCACACCAGTGCTTGCACCAGCCCTGCCGGGGGGGCAGCCCCGGGCGTTGGGGTTTGTTCAGCACTGGAAGAGTGGAGGTGCCCACAGGGAGGGGGCTGCATGCCACCCCCCTCCCCATCCCTGCCTCAGTTTCCCCAGGTATCCTGCCTGGCCTGGGGCATGCTTGGGGCAGGAATGGGGACAAAGCGAGGGGTGGGAAGAGGCCGTGGCGCTGACCCGCTCCACCCTCCCACCGCAGCCTGGCTGCACCCAGCCCAGCTCCTCGCGCGTGACACGCTCGGGCGCTCTGATCCCGGCGGGCCGCGGACCTGAGGGGTGTTCCCGGGAGTTCCTCCCTGTACAAGCCGCAGCAGCGCCGGCTTCCCGGGAGCAGGAGGCCTCGCACAGTCATTCCAGCTCAGGGGATGATGTCAGGCCTGGCCACAAAGAGGGAGGATGAAAGGCAGCGAGCCGGGTCCCCGCTCCCAGGGGAATGTGGGGTGCAGGGACGGAGGGTGGGGAGAGTGGCCCGGGGTGGGACGCGGGGAAGGATGCGGGGCACGGAGCTGCAGCCGCACACAGGCCCCGCACCGGCTCCTCGGGCAGCTGAGAGCTGCGGCGGCCGCTCTCCGGTTACAACTGCGGTGCCGCCGCCTGCCCGAGCCCTTGCCGAGCGTCGGGGGAGCAATCCTCGCACGGCTGCAGCCAGCCCGCACCGCCTGGGCTGCGCCGGGCATGCAACATTACCCACAATCAATGGATCATTATGTAATAAACAAGAGGAAAGTTGTTTTGCAAATGCGGCTGAGTTATCGCTCCACAACACGGCGGCGAAGCATCTCTCCGCCGGCCTTAACGAGAGCGGATCGGTGTCGGGGGCGGACGGGAGCAGGGAGCGAGCAGAGGCCAGGCAGCCAGCAGGGAGCCCGAGCCCCCCCCTGCTCCTGCGACGGGGGCTCAGAGGTGGAAATTTCACAATATCGAACCGACAGAGAGTGAACGTGAGCGGGGTGGGGGCCGCCTGCTGTGTTTGTCTGGCAGAGCCCTGGGGAGCCAAGGCAGCTGGTGAGGGCAGGAGGAGGAGGAGGAGGAGGATGAGGAGGGTGAGGAGGGCTGCGCTGGCTGCTCTCCGTCCCTGTCCCTACCCCCACACCTTATCAGCAGCCGCTCTTGGCTCCCAGCCCCCACCTATCCAGGTGTTTCTGATGTCCCTGAACACCTCAGATAAAGTTTTTTTTTTCTATGGCAAGGGCTGCAAGGACAACAGCAAGGCCCCGTGTGCCAGCAGCCTACTGCCCGTGTCCCCTCTGCCGTGTCCTCAGCGAGGGGGGGCACAGTGGCACCTCCATGCCCACACCCCCCGGCACAACCCGGGTCCCCCCCGGCACAAACACACTGCGTGTGCGCACGGGACCCCGGGGCCTCCACGGGTGCCACCGCACGGGGGTGACCCCGGTGACCTCCGTGCCACACCCGTGCCTCCTTCATGCTGCCCCCCGGACCCCCCAGCACATCCGAGGGGGGGGGTTGCAGACCTCCCACCCCCTCCCCACCTCGTCCCGCTGTGCCTGTCCCCGCGTGGGGATGGGGGGCGTCCCCGCGTGGCACCGTCCCCGCGTAGGGGCCGCTGCCCGTCCCCGCGCCGCCCCCGCCGTGTTGTTGTTGTGTCTCGGCCCCGCGGCCCGGTGAGGCGAGGCGGGGCCGGCGGGGGCGGGCGGGGCAGCGGCGGGGCCGCATTTAAGGACCGGGAGCGGGCGGGGCGCGCAGCCCGGCGGAGCGCACCGGCGGAGCGCATGGAGAGGCTGCGGGTGGCCCTGGGGGCGCCCCTCTGGGTGCCCCTCCTGGGGCTGTGCTGGGCGGCGGCAGCTGAGCGCCACACCGTCTTCTGGAACAGCTCCAACCCCAAGTGAGTCCCGGGAGCCCCCCGACGCCCCCCAAAACCCGGGGGTGGGGGGAGGGAGCGCGGACGGGGCGGGCCCCCGAGGGCGCGGACGGCGGCGGCGGGGCCGTGCGCGGGGTCGCGTTCCCCGGGGCTGCGGGCTTTGTTTGGGGCGGACAGGGGGATTCACGCTGCCCCCACTTTTGCTCTTCCCCCTGCCCTCTTTGCTCCCCCCCCCGTTCTCCTGACCCGGCACCGGGGGCGCCCCCGGGGCCGGGAGGGGCCGGGACGGCAGCGGCGGGGTGAAGTCCGCGGAGCCAGGTGCGGGCCGGGAGAACCGGGAAGGGATTGAGGGGGGGGCACGGGGGGGCCCTTTCCGTTCCCAGGGCCGAGCGGAGCGGGGCCTCTTCCTTCCCCGGGGGGGGGGTGGCGCGGCGCCAGCGGAGGCGCCGGGGCTCAGGGAAGCCGTGTTGACAAACACGGGGCTGGCCCCGGGTCCCGCGGCACGGGCAGGATGTGCGCGGCCGCCGGTGCCCCCCCCGGGAGGTGGGGGGGCGGCGGGGGTCGTGGGCAGCCCCCGTGTCTGCCCCGGGGCTCGGTCCCCAGGTAGGGGCTGGGTTTTTGGGGTGCCCACCTGAGGTTGTGGGGTTCACTCTTAGCTACCTGCCCCTGGTGTGGTGTAGGGGTGCCCCCCTTCTCTAGGCCGTGCCCCCCCCTTGGTTGTAGGGGTGCTCCCTTACATGCTGTGGGTGTGCCCCCCCAGCTGTGTGCCCCCAATGTGCTATAGGGGTTACCCAAACCCCCGGGATGTGCCCCCACATGTTATAGGGGTTACCCACACCCCCAGGATGTGCCCCCCAGCCTTGTGCCCCCACAAGTTATGGGGCTGCCCATCCCCCAGCCCTGTGCTTCTACAGGCTATAGGGGTTGCCCAAACCCCCCAGTTTGTGCCCCTACATGTTATAGGGTCACCCACCCACCCCCACCCCGGGATGTGCCCCCCAGCTCCATGCAGGGCAGCTCCCAGGCGGGGTCCCACAGGGGTTTGGGAAGCTGGAGCTGGCCCCAGCAGGGAGGCCGTCCCTTCCCAAGGCTGCCGCAGCCAGCGAGGTGAGGAGACCCCTCCGTGGCCCCTCTGAGACCCCTCCGTGGCCCCTCGCAGGCTGCCTGCGGCCCCCTTCATTGCCCCCCCCAGCAGCCCCGGTGCCGTGCAGCCTCCCGGGAGAGCCTCGCTGGCGGGCGAGGTGTGGGGAGCAGCACGCTGGAGCCAGGCCGGCTGCCCCCCCCCCGGGCGAGAGCTGCTCACACCTAATGGCTCCCCAGAGCTTTGGGGACAGCCGGGGAGCGCGTCCCGGCCGGTCCCCTCCCTCCTGCAGTGGGGGAGGGCTTTTTCTTTTCCCCAGCACCACCAAAAAAAAAAACAACAAAAAAAAGCACTCCCAAAAAGCACCGCGGGGCTTTGTGCGGTGCCAAGCAGCTTTCAGGCCGCCCTGTGTTGGGCTCTGAGGGTTTGGGGGAGTTGTGGGGAGTGCTACCTCCGTGCCCCAAATTCCCCCGCACCATGTGCTGACCCCCGCCGCCCCCCTGCCCCAGGTTCCTTTGGAGCGACTACACGGTGGAGGTGCGCCTCAATGACTACCTGGACATCATCTGCCCGCACTACGAGGAGGGCAGCGTGGCCCCGCACGCCATGGAGCGCTACACCCTGTACCTGGTGGACCTGGAGGAGTACCAGGCCTGCAAGGCCCGCTCCAAGGAGCAGATCCGCTGGGAGTGCGACAAGCCCAGCGCCTTGCACGGCCCCGAGAAGTTCTCGGAGAAGTTCCAGCGCTTCACCCCCTTCACGCTGGGCAAGGAGTTCAAGGAGGGGCACAGCTACTACTACATCTGTGAGTGCCCGGGGGGCTGTGTTCCTCCTGCTGTGGGGCTGGGGTCCCTTTGGGGATTTTCCCCCTCTAACTCCTGCCTCCTGCCCGCAGCCAAGCCGATTCATCACCACGGGGAGACGTGCCTGAAGCTGAAGGTGACGGTGCTTGGCAAAGGCAGTGAGTATCTGCGGGTTTCCCCCTGCTGTGTGCTGCTCGCCCTCCTCCCCCCTCGAGGCCTTGGGTCCTCGGCCGGCTCTGCCTTTCCTGCGCTGAGTCACGGCGGGGCCGTGGCCCCCTGCCAGCCCCGGCTGTGGGGCTGGGGACGGTGCCAGCGGCCAGAGCGGGGATGGCACCGGGGAGACCTGGGCTTCCATGGCTTGGGGGGGTGCCTTTTTGGGGTCCCAGGACACCGGGGCAGCCCCTCACGGTGTGTCTTTGTGTTTGCTTTGCAGCTCAGGCACCGCCTGCCCCCGCCTCGACGCAGAAGGGGAGGATCCAGGCAGGTAGGTGGTGGAGGACGCGTCCGAGCGGCTGCGGGGCAGGCTCAGGAGCAGGGTGTGGGGCACGGGGGCCACTCACGGATCTTTTTTTTTTCCTCCCCCTGCAGACGACGCAGCCGCACACGTCCTGAGGAGCGTGGGGCAGAACTCGGCGATGCGGGCCAGCAGCCCTTCACCTTCATCAGCCTCCTGCTGCCCCTCCTGGTGCCGCAGGGGCTGTGAGCGCACCGGGGATGGAGCCCTGTGGGGTGGCCCCCACCTGCTCGGGGACCCCCGTGGCCCTGCACGCACACCCGTGGCGGGCTTCCCTGCGGACATCTGGGCAAAGCAAAGGATTTGTCAGTATTACCGGGCCAGCCGGCCTGAATTGGAGCAGCCCAAAGCCCTTGGGGCCTGAACTGGAGCGGCTAAAGCCCTCGGGAAGCCGCCTCGCCCTCGTGGGAAGGGCGCTTTTGGCAGCTGGGGGTTGAGCCCTGGACTGGACGGGCTGGGGGCTGGCCCCCTGCCCCAGCAGCACGGAGCTCCCCCTGGACGTCTCTGGAGGGGGGGGCTCAGACTGTGAAGTGTCCCGCGGGAAGGGACACGGTGCTGGCCCAGCTGTGGCCGTGCCCTGGGGCTGGCTTCAGGAGCCTGGACGTGCTCGAGATGCCAGGCAGGCGGTGGAGCGGAGTCGGGGGGGGGACAGCGGCTGCACCAGCGTCCCCCCTATTGGGTGGGGGGCTGTGGAAGCTCCTCCTGCCTGGTGCCAGAGGGGCACGAGCCCCCTGCCTGGGCCAGCACAGAGGCCGTTTTGCCTGCCTCGATTTGTACAGCTTTGTACAGCTTTCTAACACTGGAATTTTTATACGGTTGTCTTGAATAAATAACTGAAACCATGCCGGAGTATTGGGGGGGGGGGGGGGGGAAGGGAGAGGGGGAATGGCTCCTGGGGGGGTTAATTAGTTAATTGGTGTTTGCACAAGGCTCTGCAGGGGGAGGTGTCCCATGGAGTGGTGCCCAGGGTTGGTTTCAGGTGGAGGTGCAAAGTCCTGCAGGGCTGGGGAGCAGTTCCCTTCCTGGGATATGGGGGGGGGGGGGACTGTGGGTTTTGGGGTGCAGCTGCAGTCGGCTGGAACCCTGAGCTGGGGGAGGGTAGTCAATGGAGGGGTGGCTATGGGGGGGGAACCTGGGACACTGGGGAAGACAGGGGTGCTGTGGGGTGGGAATTGTAGGAAAGGGGGATCCTGGGACCCCAGGAACGGGGGAGGTGGGGTGCTGGGGGGGTCACAAGGCTGTGACCCCAATCCTGGAAGATCGGGGGGGAGCACAGAGCTGCGTGTCCCGTGCACGCCGCACCCGGGGGCGCTGCTCCCGGTCCCTCCCCGGTAGTGCGGCCCCGCCCCGCCCCCGTTTCTCTTCCCCCCCCCCCCTCCGGCTCCCGGTGCCCGCGGCGAGCATGGAGCCGCAGCCGGTGCTGGCCGCCGCCTGTCTCCTCTTCACCATGGCCATGTTCTGCAGCGGGCTGTGAGCCGCCGGGAACCGGGGGCGGCGGGGGGGGGACGGGGAGGGATCGGGGGGGGGAAGGGAGGGACTCGGGAGGCCGGGGGGGGGGGGTGCTGGGGGCGGGGCGGGGGGAGGCGGGGAGGGAATGGGAGGTGCGGGGGGTGGGGGGGGGAATGCGGGGCAGTGGGAGGCTGGGGGGGTGCAATGGAATGGGGGGTGCAATGGGGGGGCACTGGGAGGCTGGGGGGTGGAATTGGGGGTGCGATAGGAGGCTGGGGGTGCAGTGAGGGGTGGGGGTGCAATGGGGGGGGCACTGGGAGGCTGGGGGTGCAGTGGGGGGTGAGGGTGCAATGTGGGTGCAGTGTGGGAGGTATTGAGGCTGGCTGGGGGGGCCTGGGGGCTCCAGGCTGAAGGCCAGGCGTGCAGGGTCAGGTGGGGGCTCTGAGGGTGCGGGGGGGGGCACTGGGGTGTGGGAGATAATGCAGAGAAGGTCCCAGCTGCTGAGGAGGGGCTGCTGGTATTTTATGGGGCTAAGGTTGTAGCCCCCCCCCGTGGCGCTGGGCACCCATGAGGCCTCTCTCCCCCCGGCCCTAGGTTTGACCTGTGGCAGGATAATCAATACGAAGAGCGTGGACAACATCCAGTTCCCGCCCTTCCTCGCCATCAAAGCCAAGTACACAGGGGGCACAACCTTTTGGGGCCGGGGGGTTGAATTTCGGGGGTGGGCGTAGGCAGGAGCCCCCAGGCCTGTGCCGCTCATCCTGCAGCAACCTGTGCTGGCTGGGCTACGGGTGCCAGAAGCCGGACTGGATGCTGATCATCATCAACAGCATCGGGGCCGCTCTGCAAAGCCTTTACATCCTGGTGTACTTCTACTACAGCACCACCAAGGTGGGTGCCGGCCCGGCTGGGTCGGGGGGGCACAGAGGAACCCCCACGCTGACGGCCCCGCGCTGTGCCGCAGCGTCAGGTGCTGCTGAGGTCCTGACGTTCCTGGCCCTGCTGGCTGCGGCCTATGGCTACTTCTGCTACTTCACCGACAAGGACACCCTGCGGAGCCGCATTGGGGTCTCTCTGCAGCAGCCTCACCATCATGATGTACGCCTCGCCGCTCATCGACCTGGTGCGTAAAGCTGGGTGGGACCGGGGGAGGTGTCGGGGGGGCTGCGTGGCACCGGGCCAGCCCCTCGCTCCCCGCAGGCCAAGGTGATCCGGAGCAGGTCAACGCGCTGCTTGTCCTTCCCCCTGACTGTCACCGCCTTCCTGGCCTCCAGCAGCTGGACGCTGTACGGGCAGTTGGTCAAAGACAACTACATCACGGTGGGTTGGGGGCAGCGGGAGGCCGGGGGCTGCTGTGGGTTCCCCCCCCTCCTCTCCAGCCCCTTTCAGCGGGGCGCCTGGCACCGGGCCGGACCCCGTCCGGCGTCGCGTGTGTCACACAGCAGAGCCCGTGACTAGGCTCGGCGAGATGAGTATTGATTTTAATTAATTAGATGGGATAAGGCCAATAAATCTCCCCCGGCGACGCGGGGCTGGTGGCGCGGGGGAGGGCAGCAGCAGCACCGTGAGCTGGGTAACGCCGCCCGGCCCCGTGTGCTCCACAGGTCCCCAACGTGCCGGGCATCGTCACCAGCGTCGTGCAGCTCTGGCTGTTCTGGCGCTACGCCCCGGGCCGGGACAATCCCCACAGACCCCTGCACGCCTGAGGGGGTCCCGCCGGTGCTGGAGCCCCGGAGCCAGGCCGGTGTCAGACACTTGGTGACCAAGGAAGGCCCCCCCTGCTCGCCACTCTGCTCCTGCTGCCGCAGCGTGGCCAGCTCCTGCTGGGTGACACCAGGGCGACCCCAGCGGCTGAGGGCTCCCAGCAGGACTGGGGCCCTGGGGGGACGCCTCAGTCCCTCACCGCTGCAGTTTGCCCTCTGGCAGCTCCTCTCCGTTGTCCCTGGGGCCGTTTTTTCCTGTGGTGGTGGTTGGTTTGTTCGCAGCGATGCCTTGGGGGTGGCGGGCTCCCCCTGCCCCCGTCCCCGCGATGTTCTTCCAGGCCCTGCCCCAGCGCTGGGCTGGGTGGGCAGCCCCCTTTTGTACGACTCGAAGTGCCTTTTAATAAATCGCAGACTCTTCCCAGCGCCTGCTCGTCGTCCCCTCCCGCTCTGGGCTGTGCTGGGTGCCGGGGCCAGCACAGCTCCTGTCCCCACAGCGCTTTGGCCTCGGGATGCTGGGGCTAATCCTGGCACCCTCTGAGCCCTGCAGCTCCTCATCCACCAGCACCCGCTTGCCCATGGGGTGCAGCAAACCCCCACAGGGGGCTCCAGCCTCAGCCCAGGAACGGGGCGGCAGCACTGGGTGATAGGGGCAGGGAGTGGGGCATGGAGGAAGGCAGCGCTGCCTGAGGGTGCTCCTCCGACCTCCCCAAGCACCGGTCACAGCGTGGAAAGAAAAGTCCCTTCCGTAGCACGGACACAGGGCTTGCTACCGCCCATTATGCCAGCAAACTTAAAATCAATTAAAATCCTCGCTAAAACCACGACGCTCGAGTGTGCGCATCAAATCAAGGCAGCCGTTGGCGGCGACCCAAGCTCAATTAATGAATTAACAATGATCTGGAATGAAGTTATCAGGCAAGCGCATCAGCAGATGGACGGGAGCGAGCGCGGGTGACCAAGTTACACAACAGATGCCGGAGCCGTGCAAAAACCAGGGGCCCTGGGGTGGCGGCGGCCCCGCGCGGCGAGGAGCCCCGGCCCTGCCAGCGCCTGGGAGGCCCTCGGCGTGGGCACGGCCGCAGCCCGGCTGACGCAGCCCGGATTAAGGAAGTGTTGACGAGGAATTTGGCCGCGCTCATGCACTCAGCCGCTCGCTCACACCTTGCGACGTGGCCTGGGAAAAATCAATACGGCGGCAGCAGTCCCGCCACGCCAGCAACGGGGCAGGGACAGGAGAGGGAAAGATGAACTCCGGCTGTGCTGCGGCACTGCGGGGCGTGCTGCGTCCTGCTGCTGTGGCCTGCGGGGTCCGAGCCCTCGAGGAAGCTCCTTCGCTGGGCTCCCCTTGGCTTTTCCAGCTGCGAGTGCAGGTGTTTCTGCCCTCGGGACTCCCCCACAGGGGCTGTGCTCCCCGGGGCCCTGCAGATGTTTTTCCCACCTGGTTGGAGCCACCGATCTGCTCTGGCTGCCCTGGCACTGGGGCTTCGGCTCGTGGCCCGGGAGGAACGTGGGGGGGGGGGACAGGGCAGCTTTTCCCGGTGACGCAAGCGAGCAGAAACTCGGCTGCCAACCGGTCACTCCGGCTGGCGTGTGCCGCGAGCGGCCGTGACGCAGCCCCGCTCGTGAGGCTGGAGGTGAGCAAGAGCAGCCACCGGCTACAGCGAGCGCCCGCAGCGGGCACGTGCCCGTGCAGGGAGAAGCCGGGGCCGTGCTGCTACCTGCCAGCCTGCAGGGAGCCTGCTGAGGGCTCCCAGCCTCGTGCCACGCCAGCACCGCGCTCCCTGCCCCGTAAAGGCAGCGCTGAAGCCGAGGGGCTGCCACCCCCAAACGGCCGCACACGGGCACTGGGGCTGCGGGAGCCGCCCACCCCGCTCCGAGCTGCCACTGTTGCTCAGGAAACAGCTAATTAGTCGCTCCTGCTAATTAGCCCGAGTCCTCCCTCATGCTACCAACTGCTCCTTTTTGCAGAAGGATGCGCAGCCGATAATTAAAAAAAACAAGAAAGTCCTTCGGCTGGTATGCGAAGAAGCCGGGGAGGCTGCCAGCGAGGCAGGCCCCGGCATGCGTCACCACCGGCAGCGCTGGCTCCGCCAGCCGGGCCGGCAGCGCGGCTCTCGCGCACCCCCAAACAGGAGGCACCCCCAGACCGAGGCCACCCAGGGCTCCCCCCGGCGTGCCAGGGAAGGCCCTGCCGCGGGAGCCCCACACGCGGCTCCGGAGCACCTGTGTCCCATTTTCCCCGTGGAGGCGTGGGGCAGAGCAGCAGCCGCAGTCGCTGCTCCGCCAGGCATCGGGGATGCAGCCCCCCCGGCGTGGGCCGCGCCGCCCCTAGCAGGCTGGGGGAGACCACAGGCTCCGGGCACTCTGCATTTTAAAGGCTGCGCCAGCCGCTCCACCCAGCCACGCTCTCTCCTCCTTCCCCTGGCAGGGCCGGGCCGATTCTTCTCCAGCTCCCACCTGACGGCTCAAACCACATCTGAAGGGCTGCCGGGAGCGCGCGGTGCCCGCAGTGCTACCCAGCGCCGCGGGCTGCCGAGGCAGGGCCCGATCCTGCCCTCCCCACCTCGCAGCCCTGCCCGTGCAGCCCAGCTCGGGGATGCTCGGAGGCTGGGTGGGCCGGCGCAGGCTCCCTGCAGCACCTGTGGAGGGGGGTGGGTGCCGAGGGGGGGGCCGAGCGGACGCCCTGCTCTGCCTGGAGCCCGTGCAAAGACAGCTGGAGCCCGGCTGCACCGGGCAGGGCGGGGAGCGGCCCCAAAGCAGCACCGGGGGGGCTCGGCCACCCCCTGCCTGCAACCAGGGCGGCACAGCACAGGCTGGGGCCCCCTTTCCCTTCTCCTGGCAGCACAGCACGGCCCAGTATGGCCTGGCATAGCCCGGTACAGCCTGGCATGACCCAGCACGGCTTGGTACAGCCCTGCATGGCCCAGTATGGCCCGGTACAGCCCAGCACAGCCCAGTACAGCCTGGCATGGCCCAGCATAGCCTGGTACAGCCTGGTATAGCCCAGCACTGCCCGGTATGTCCCGGTACAGCCCAGCACAGCCCAGTACAGTACAACACGGCCCGGTACGACCCGGTACAGCCCAGCACGGCCCGGTATGACTCGGTACGGCCCAGCACGGCCCGGTACAGCACAGTACAGCCTGGTACAGCCCGGTACAGCCCGGTACAGCCCAGCACGGCCCGGTACAGCCCGGTACAGCACACTTTGTCGTCTTTATTGTGCTCAGAAGCGCAGCCCCCTCCGCCTCAGGTCCTCCCGCGCCGCGCTGATGTGCTCCCGGAGCTCGGCAGCTGCTTCCTCGCAGTCGTTGAAGGTGGCCAGGCGGTAGCCCACGGTGGCCAGCGCGTAGCAGCCGAAGGCCACCAGCAGGTAGACGGGCAGCGGCAGCAGGGCCTGGCGGCACGGCGCCGGCAGCCGCAGGCCCGGCGGGGACAGCGCCAGCGCGGCCCAGGCCGAGCCCAGCAGGGCGAGCCCGCACAGCCACTGCAGCAGCTTGGTCATGGCGGCCTGCGGAGACACGGACGGCACCGTGAGGGCGGCGCCGAGCCCCCGGGACCGGCCCCGGTTCCCCCCCCCCCCCTCCCCTCCCCTCCCCTCAGAGCCGCCCCCCCCCACCTGCAGCGTTCCCCGGCCCGGCGCTGCTCTCCCCGTCGCCAGGTGACGTCACCGCGGCGCGGCGCGGGGCATGCCGGGAGTTGTAGTCCGCCGCGGGGCCCCCTGGCGGCGGGGCCCGGCCCGGGGCCGGCTCAGGAAGCGCCGCGCTTTGTCCGCCGGGGCCGGGCCGGGCCGCAGGAAGCACCTGGCTTCCGCCGTGTCCGGTCGCGGCGGGGGGCGCGGGGCTGGCGTGGGAGCAGGCCCGGCACGGCTCTCCCACGGGCCCGGCCGGGCACCGAGCCCCGAGGGCACCGGGGGCACCGGGAGGGACCGGCACCGGGGGCTGGGGGGCTGCGGGGGGGACCCCCGGGTGCTGAGGAGCCAACCCTGAGGCAGCCGCAGACACGGAGCTACAAAGAAACTGCTTTATTGCCCGGCCCAGAGTCCGGGTCCAGGCTGGAGGAGGGGGAGCTGCCCCGGGAAGGGGCCCCGGGGCGTCAATTCCTCTTCCTGCCTTTGCCAGGGGCTTTGGTGGGAACGGCTGCGGGCGCTGCGGACTGGTAGAGCGTGGAGGAGATCTTGTTGATGTAGTAGAGACCGACCATGGAAAAGATGAGGCTGTGGGTAAACAAGAGAAGAGGTTACTCGGCTGCGGCCCTCGTGCTGCAGGCAGGAAGGAACTCGCCGAGGCCAAACTGAGGGCACCCCCCTGCTCCCACTGCGCTGCGGGGCCGAGCGCTGCGCACCCCAGGTGCTCCCGGCCAGCCTTGGCCCTGCCGACAGGGAGCACGAGCCACCAGGGCCCCTGGCAGCTGCCCCGGATGGTGACAAGCTGCTTCCCCACCCTCCGGGGCAGGCTGTGGTCTTACCAGGTGGTCACACAGACTCTGTGAATGAGGCCGGAGGCAAAAAGGGCCAGCAAGAGGCAGGTGAGGACTGCAGGGAAAAACAAGAGAGAGAAGAGATGCAGCCACGCCGTCCCATCAGCTGTGCAGCCCCTCCTGAGAACCTCAGCGACGCGGCAAGACAAACCCACGTAGAGCACAGAGGGGAACAGCAGGACGGGCTGCGTGCCCTCTGCAAACCCAGCGTGGGGCTGCACGCCCAGCGCCCACAGCCGACGGCACCGTCCCCTCCCCGCTGGGGGCACTTACTCTCGGGGAATATCTTGGCCTGGAAACCTTTGCCAAACACCAGGTTCTCGAGGTTGTTGAAGGCCTGCGCAGGGGGTTAAGGCACGGAACCGGGAACCACCTCCCTCAGCCCCGCTCCCCGTGTGGCCCCAAAGGATACGGTGAGGGAGCAGACGAAGAGCGCGGCGCCCAGCAGCCCGCCCTGGATGGTGAGCCACTCGGTGGAGGCCAGCTGCCGGCTGTACATCTGCATCCCGGCGAACAGCAGCAGCGACAGCAGCGACGACAGCGCCAGCGACGTGCCCGTACCTACGGCTGCAGCACGGCCCCGGCTCAGCAAGGCGGGGGGCCGGTCCCCAAAACCCCCTCAAGACCCCAATCGCCCCCTGAAGCCCCCTCAAGGCCCTGATCGCCCCCTGCAGCCCCCCCAAGCCTCTCATTGCCCCCTGACCCCCCCCATGGCCCCAGCCGCCTTCAGCAGCTCCCCCCCGAGGCCTCCCCCCCCCACTCCGCCCCCTGTCCCGGTCCCTACAGCTCCCCCCAGGCCCTGATCACCCCCTGAACCCCCCCCCCGAGGCCTCCCCCGCTCCCTGAGGCCCCGGGCCCGGTCCCCACAGCCCCCCCCGGGCTGCAGCCGCCCCCCCCCGTGCCGCCCCCGCCCCTCAGGCCCCGGTCCCGGTGCCTGAACCCCCCCATTCGAGGCCCCGGTCGCCCCCTGACGCCCCCCCCCAAGTCCCCTCCCGCCCCCTGCAGCCCCCCCGGTGCCCCCCCCCGCCCCTCAGGCCCCGGTGCCTCCCCCCCCCCTCCCCGTTCCCGTTACCCATGATGCCCCGCGGCGTCGCCCCCCGGCCCCTTCCCCTCCCGGCCCCGCCGCCGCCGCTCCCCCCGCACTGCGCAGGCGCGTCCCGGCCCCGCGCACGCGCCCTGCGCGCTCCCCCCCCCCCCCCCCCACAAAGCGACACGGCGGCAGCCGCGGGCACGCGCCCTTCTCAGGCGCGCCCCCGCGTGGGGCTCGGCCGGCCCTCGGGCGCCCCCTAGCGGCCGGGCGCGGCGCTGCAGGCCCCGCCGCTCTGCGCGCGCCCCCCGGCGGCGGGGAGCGGAGCGCGGGGAGGCCCCGGGGCACCGGGCGGGGGCGCGGCCGCCTCCCCCCCCCCCCCCGTACCCGGCCCCCTCCTCCTCCTCCTCCCCCCCATCCCTCCTCCGGGCTCCGTTCGGCCCCTTCCCGGCTCCGCTGCCGGCTCCGGGCCCGGCGCCGCGCTGCCGTCCGCGGGGAGCCGCCGGGGGCCGCCCCGGGGAGCGGAGGGGGCGTCCCGGTACCGGCCCGGTGCCGCCGCCCCCCGCCGCCCCCCCCTCTCCGGGGCGGGTCCCTCGGAGCATGCGCGCCGCCGCCCCCCGCCGCCCTCCCCCCGGTTCCGCCGCTCCCTGCAGCAGAACCGGGCGGCCGCTGCTGCCGCCGGTACCGGCACCGGCACCGGCCCCGGGCGCGGAGCCATGGCCGAGGGCGAGGACCTGCAGACCTTCACCTCCATCATGGACGCGCTCGTCCGCATCAGCGTGAGCGGCGGCGGGGACCGGGCGGGGACCGAGCGGGACCGGGCCGGGCTCTCCCGGGACCGGCGTCGCCATGGCAACGCGGCGGGGCGGCGGCGGGGCCGGGGCGGCCGCGATGGCCCCGGGGGGGGGGCGGCCGGGGGTGCCCTTGAGGGCCCCGAGGGCCGCGGAGAGGCCTCGCTGCCTCGGCCCCGTTCCCCACCGGGCCCCGGGGGGGGGGCGGATCGGCCCTCGCCGAGCCCCGGGCGGGGCGCACCGGGCACCGGGGAGCGCCCCCCGAGGCCTCCCGGGATGCTGAGAGCCCGGCGCCCCCGCGGGGACTGGGGTGGGGAGGGCCCGGGGGTGTCCCGGTGCCGTGCTGGGGTCCTGGGGCTGGGGCTGGTCCCGCTCGGGACCGGATCCCGGTGCTGGTCCCCGTCCTGGCTCTGGTCCTGGTCTCGATGCCGGTCTCTGTCTTGGCCCTGATCCTGGCCCCGATTTTGGCCTTGATGCCAGTCCCTGAGCCTGGTCCTTGAGCCTGGTCTCGATGCTGGTCCCTGATCCTGGCCCTGATCCTGGCCCCGATCCTGGCCCCGGTCATGGTCTCAGTGCTGGGCCCTGATCGTGGTCCTGATCCAGATCTTGATCCTGGTCTCAGTGCTGGTCCTGGTCCTGGTCCTGGTCCTGGCCTTGACGCTGGTCCTCATCCAGGCCCTAATCCTGGTCTTGGTGCTGGGCCCTATCCTGGATCTGCTCCTGGTCCTGATCCTGATCTCAGTGCCGGGCCCTATCCTGGCCCTATTCCCAGTCCTATCCCGGGTCCCAGTCTCCATCCTGTCCCGGTCCCCATCCTGGCTGCTCCCGGTGACGCTCTCCCCCTCTCTCCTCAGACCAGCATGAAGAACATGGAGCGGGAGCTGGTGTGCCCGGTGTGCAAGGAGATGTACAAGCAGCCGCTGGCCCTGCCCTGCATGCACAACGTCTGCCACGTCTGCGCCAGCGAGGTGCTGCTGCAGCACGGTTACCTCTGCTGCGACCCCACCTCCGAGCCCTCCTCGCCCGCCGCCACCCCGGCCACCCGCAGCCCGCGCCTGGGCCGCAGGGGGGTCCCCAAACCCGACCGCCTGGACCGGCTCCTGAAGTCAGGTGGGGGGGACGGGGATGGCACTGCCGGGGGGTGGAGGGGCTCTGCTGGCCCCGAGGAGCCGTGGGGCGCTGGGCTGTGTGTGACGCCTCCCCGGCCTCCTGCAGGGTTCGGCACCTACCCGGGGCGGAAGCGGGGCACCGTGCACCCCCAGACCATCAGCTTCCCCTGCCCGGCCTGCCAGCGGGACATTGACCTGGGCGAGCGGGGCCTCGGCAGCCTCTTCCGCAACCTGACCCTGGAGCGCGTGGTGGAGCGCTACCGCCAGACCATCAACATCAGCGCCGCCATCATGTGCCAGTTCTGCAAGCCCCCGCAGCTGGAGGCCACCAAGGGCTGCACGGAGTGCAAGTCCAGCTTCTGCAACGAGTGCTTCAAGCTCTACCACCCCTGGGGCACCCAGAAGGCTCAGCACGAACCCACGCCGCCCACGCTCACCTTCCGCCCAAAGGTACGGCCTCCTCCATCGGGGTCTTTGCTATTTGGGGTTCCCCGGGTGCCACAGCAGACGAGCTGGGGAGAGACCCTTGGAGGGGGGGGTCCTAAAACTCTGCTGAGCTTCCTCGTGTCCGTGCAGGGTCTGATGTGCCCAGAGCACAAGGAGGAGGTGACTCACTACTGCAAGACCTGCCAGCGGCTGGTGTGCCAGCTCTGCCGCGTGCGACGCACTCACACCAGCCACAAGATCACGCCGGTGCTCAGCGCCTACCAGGCTCTCAGGGTAAGGGCTGCTGCGGGGCTGCGCGCTCGGGTCGGGGTCAGGACGCCCACGGGGAGGCAGGGAGGAAGCAGGGGTGCGAGCTGAGCTCGCAGCACAGATGGGGTGAGGGCTCTGTTTGCAGGTCGGGGGCGCACGAGGCCAGTGGTGGCTAACCTCCTTCCTTGCAGGAGAAGCTGACAAAGAGCCTTGCCTACATCTTGAGCAGCCAGGACACGGTGCAGACCCAGATTGCTGAGCTGGAGGAGACGGTGAAGCACACGGAGGTAAGGGCACGAGGTCCCCGAGCAGTCCCTAGGTGGGGATTGGCACCTCCTGGCTGGTCTCTCTTTGCCCCGTGGGGGCCGTACAGCGCGCTGACAGCGCCGTGCTTGGCAGGTGAACGGCTCGCAGGCCAAGGAGGAGGTGTCCCAGCTGATCCAGGGGCTGTGCTCCATGCTGGAGGAGAAGCGGGCGTCCCTGCTGCAGGCTATCGAGGAGTGCCAGCAGGAGCGGCTGGCCAGCCTGCACTACCAGATCCAAGAGCACCAGGCCATGCTGGAGAACTCGGGCATGGTGGGCTACGCCCAGGAGGTGCTGAAGGAGACCGACCACCCCTGCTTTGTCCAGGCTGCCAAGCAGCTGCACAACAGGTACCAGGGTATGGGGACCCGCGTGGGTGTCCCCGCGGTGTTGGGGCTGGCCGGTGCCCGAGGCAGCCCTCGCAGCCACCCTGACGTCCCCGCTCTCCTGTGCTGCAGGATCCTCAGGGCCACCGACTCGCTGCAGAGCTTCCGACCTGCAGCCACGGCCTCCTTCAGCCACTTCCAGCTGGATGTCAGCAGGGAGCTGAAGCTGCTCACAGACCTGGCCTTCATCAAAGGTAACCGCAGCAGGACCCCGGCACCGGCTGCAGCCCGTGTGGAGGCGCAGCCCCTGCGGGCAGAGCAGCTCCGTGCCCGCCCGTCTCCTCCCTTGGAGCCAGAGCTCGGCTCCGGCCACGGAGGGATGCGCTCAGGCAGGCGCCCGTGGATCTGCCGCCCCCCTCCCTGTCAGGAATGGCCCCAGCAGCCCCCAAAGTGCTCCCTGCCCTGCCCTGTGCCGGGGCTGCAGGCAAGGGGGCAGGAAAGGCAGGGCTGTGGTGTGAGGTAAGGGCAGCAGGAGGGTGAGTACGGAGCGGAGGCTGCCCCAGGTGCAGGGCAGGCGCTTCCCCACCAGGGCAGGTGCCGCCTGGGCCCTGCCGGACCGGCTGGCAACACTTTTCAGACCTGCTTCTACCTCTCTTTGTTTATAGGCTGCGGCCGCTGCTGATCGTCACCGAAGTAACTGAGGCAAGTCACTCCCCTGCCCCAGAGCCACCCCTGCTCTCTCTGTCCCATCCCTCCATCCCCACTCCTGCCCCATTCCCACTCCGCTGCCATCGACCATCCCCGTCCTGCCCGCTGGTGCTGGCAGGTGCTGGCTCTGCCCGCGCTCGCCACCCTTCTCTGCCCCCTCCCTCCATCTGCTGCAGCTCCTCCTGCCATCCCCATCCCCTCCTCACCCCATTTCTGTCCCTGCATCCCCTCCTCACCCCCATTTCTGTTTCTGCATCCCCTCCTCACCCCCATTTCTGTTTCTGCATCCCCTCCTCACCCCCATTTCTGTTTCTGCATCCCCTCCTCACCCCCATTTCTGTTTCTGCACCCTCTCCTCACCCCATTTCTGTCTCTGCATCCCTTCCTCACCCCCACTTCTGTCTCTGCACACTCTCCTCACCCCATTTCTCTCTCCATCCCCTCCTCACCCCACTTCTGTCTCCTTTCCACCCCTGCCTCCCTGCTCCAGTTACGCTGGCATCTTCACACCGCTCTGCCATCCCCATCTCTTCCTCCTCCTCCTCTCCTGCTGTCTCCATCCTCTCTCTCTCTCTTTCTTTCTTTCTCTCTCTCTCTCCCTCCCTCCCCCCGACTTGCACTCAGCCTCTCTGGTCCCTGGAGCCTCACAGCAGCCAGCTCCTCTGTCTCCCCAACTCTCTCCCCCCTCTGGTGCCTACACACAGTCTCTGCAGCCAGATCCCCCTAGACTCCTGCTGGTTGTGCGTCCGTCCGTCCGGAATGCCCCCTCCCTGCGTCTGGCCGCCTCCCCACCCACGAGGGGGGGATGCTGCCTGATGCCTGCCCCCCCCCCCCGTGCCTCTCCCCGCAGTGCCCGAGGCCCCCGTCATCGACACGCAGCGCACCTACGCCTACGACCAGATCTTCCTGTGCTGGCGGCTGCCGCAGCACTCGCCCCCCGCCTGGCACTACACCGTGGAGTACCGCAAGACGGACGCCAAGGCCAAAGGGCTGAAGCTGTGGCAGCGGCGCGAGGAGGTGCGCGGCACCAGCGCCCTGGTCGAGTACCTGGACACCGACAGCGTCTACGTGCTCCGGGTGAAGGGCTGCAACAAGGCCGGCTTCGGGGAGTACAGCGAGGACATCTACCTGCACACGCCGCCCGCCCCAGGTGAGGGGACGCCCCCCCGGGGAGCAGTGTCTCCCAACCCACCCATCCCTTGGGCTTTTCGCCGTCCCCTTCTCACCTCCTCTGCTCTCCTCCTCCCCGCAGTCCTCAACTTCTTCCTGGACAACCGCTGGGGTTTCAACCGGGACCGGCTGGCCATCAGCAAGGACCAGCGCGCCGTGCGCAGCGTGCCCGGCATCCCCATGCTGTTCGCGGCGGAGCGGCTGATGACCAGCTGCCACCTCTCCATCGACCTGGTCATCGGGGACGTGGCCATCACGCAGGGCAAGAGCTACTGGGCCTGCTGCGTGGATCCCAGCTCTTACCTGGTCAAGGTGGGCGTGGGGCTGGAGAGCAAACTGCAGGAGTGGTTCCAGGTGCCTCAGGACGTGGTGAGCCCCAGGTGAGCTGGGTGGGGGCGCAGGGGGCTTCGTGGGTGTGCGGGAGGTGGTGAGGCAGCTTTTGTAGGGCCTCTGCGCTGGGCCTCACCTGTCCCCCTGCCGCAGGTACGACCCTGACAGCGGCCACGACAGCGGGGCAGAGGACACGACGGTGGACGCGCCCCCGCCCTACGCCTTCCTCACCATCGGCATGGGCAAGATCTTGCTCTCGCATGGCTCGGCGCTCACTTCTCGTGACCCCAACGGCTGCACCGTGCCCTTGCCACCGCGCATCGGCATCTGCCTGGACTACGAGCAGGGCAAGGTGAGCTTCTACGACGCCGTGTCCTTCCGTGAGCTCTGGGAGTGTGGCGTGGACTGCTCGGGGCCTGTCTGCCCCGCCTTCTGCTTCATCGGAGGGGGTGCCCTGCATCTCCAGGAGCTGGTGGCCAACAAGCAGGAGCGCAAAGTGACCATCGGGGGCTTCGCCAAGCTGGACTGAGCCGCGCGCGCGCTCCCTGCACGCACATCTGGTGCGACCCCTTATTGTCCAAGCGAGCTTCAGGGCCTGGAGGGGACGCGACCATGCAGGGAGCGCAGCTCAGCAGGGGCAGCCCCAGCCCTGCCCGGGGCTTGGAGCAGGCCGGGTGTTTGTTTTGTGGGACTGGGGGGGACGGGGACAGCTCCGCCGTCCCCTCCCTTCCCCATCCACCTGCCCCTTTCACCAGCTCAGCTCTGTGGCAGGCAGAGGCTGGCGGCAGGTCCTGGCAGAGGGTCAGCCCTGGGGGTGGAGCAGGGAGGGGGACGCGAGGGGGACGCAGGGCTGCGTGGGGAGGGGGGAGGCAGGAGCTGGTTGGGGTGACGGTGGGGGGAGCGGCTGGGCAGTGGCTGGGGCGGGGGAGGCAGATGGGCTGGGGGAGAGAGGGAGGGGGGAGGCTGGGCTGGAACAAGGTATGAGGACGTTTTTGTAAAAATGGCTCATTTTTGACGCGGCTCACCCGGCTGCAGCATCGCGGCCAGGCACAGCCACCGCTGGGTCCTGGGGGGCTGTGGGACCTCGGTGTCCCCCACCCTCCTGAGGGGCTGCAGAGCAGCTGCCGGGTTCTCTGCTCCCTCCCCAGTGGTGTGGGACCAGCCCCGCGTGGCCCCCACCCCCTGGACCCGCTCAGTGCCCCCCTTCCACCGCTCAGTGCCAAGCAGCCCCTGCCAGCCGGGGCTTGCGGGGTTGGGATCCGACGTGGCCAGGAGCCATGGGGGGGCTGCCCCCCACTGCAGGGGCCTTGGGGCTGCGGTCCCACGCTGGGAGCCGTGCGAGCTGCTGTAGTTTCTCATGGGTTCTGTTACAATTGCTGTCTTTTCATGGTTTCCTACAATAAACTGCAATGCCAGACTTCTCCAGAGCCCCCCTAGGGCAGCCGCAGCCCCCTGGGGGGCAGAGGGCAGGGCAGCAGCACCCACCCGTGCCCCGCTGCCTGCTCCCCGTGGGGCAGGGCCCTGTGGGGTGGAGGCCGTGGGGCAGAGCTGTCCTTCGGGCTGTGGCCAGCAGAGGCCAATCCTGCCCAGGGACGGCCGGGGCAGCGCTGACGTGTCCGGCACCCGCTTGGGTTGTGCCCGGCCACGTGGCCGCTGCTGCTCAGCCTCCCTGGGGTCTCGCTCCCGTCCCACCTGGCTCCTGCTGGCCCCATAAGGGACAAATCCTGGTAGCGGGTTTAGCGTTAGTGGGGTATGATGAGAGGGAAGCAGCAGGGGTCCTGGGAGCGCTGGCAAAACCTCCTGGGCTCTCCGGCATCCTCTGGGGGTGAGCAGTAGGGGCAGGACCCCCCCTGGGACCACAAGGGCAGGGGGGGAGCTGCCTGTGGGGCTGGGCCCCCTCCTCGGGGCCGGCTCCTGCTGCTGGGAGAGGCGGCACAGGTGGGGCCAGGCAAGGAGCGGGGCCGGAATGGGAACCCTGCAAACAGGAGTTTCATTGTAGGGCCCAGCCCAAATCTCTGTTTCGATTCCTCCAGGCCCTGCCCAGGGCTGGGAAGGGGGGGGTGAAGGGAAGGGGGGGTGAGGGGAATGGGGGGTGAGGGGAATGGGGGTGAGGGGAAGGGGCACGTGCACAGGGCTGGTGCACCCCTGGGGCTCTGCCCCAGCAGCACGCCCCGCTCTGCTGCCCCATGCCCAAAGCTGGCTGTGGGGTGGGGAGGGTGGACGTGGCCCCACGCCACAGCCCCCCCTCCGGGGCTATTTTTAGCTTCGTTCCTTCCTCCCAGCAAATGAGGCAGGATCCGGCACAGCCCCCCCCACCTGGGCCATGCTGCTGCGGCTGTGCACATGAACCCCCCCCCAGCGCTGCCCTGCCCCTGCTGCCTTCTCCCACCGCAGCCCCTCGGCCCCGTGCCGCCCGGCTGCTGGTTTCGGTTGCTGTTGGCAGCTCTGTCGGCGTGCACAATGGAAAATATAAAGCTTCCCCCCCGCCCCCCCTCCCCAACCACATCCACACACCTCGGCCCCATCTCCAGCCTCAGGGCTTGCGTCACCCTGAGCCAGCCCAGCCGTGCCCCGGAGCCCCCAGCCCCTCGCCCTCACCCCCTGGCACCCCCCGGCACCTGTTGGGGTCCCCAGGCACCCCGGTGATGTCCCCCCACCCGGGACCCACGTGCTGTGGCCAAGGGGCCCGCGAGCCACGTGCCATCGGGTCACAGCTGGTCCCAGTCCCACGGCTGGTTCCTGTTGAAGCTGCTGGCCCCGTGCCCCATCTGACAAATGCTTTCTTTATATAAGTTGTGTTTCCTTGTTTTTCTGGCTCTTCGGTAGTTGCCAAAACTCTCCCAGTCCCCAGAGCAGGCGCCCCGGCCCAGCCCGAGCCAAGCAGCTCAGCGCGTGTCCCCACAGCGGGGCAGGATGCGTCCCCAGCCCCAGGGACTTCCCGCTGCCCACCTCGCCCCTCCGCACGCCCTGCAGCCCAGCTCCTCTTTCCAGGGCCCCAGAAGCAGTTTTGGGGCTCTGGCTGTGCCGGGATGGCTTCAACCACAGCTTTCCAGGCTCCTGAGCCCAGACACAGCCCTGGCTCAGGCAGGGGATGATTTTGGGAGCAGCCTGGCTCAGACACGACTGCAGCCCGCAGGCAGCTGTGGCAGTGATGCACACGATCGGTCTTCTGCAGCTCTCCCCCCACGGCTTTATGGCTTGACCATCATCACCTTCATGCGCTGCTCGTGCAGGGTGACAAGTTGCACTGCCCGAGCCCCGTGTTTGCACAAAACAAACCCCAGGAGAACAGAGCTGGCCAGGCGGGGGTGGTGTAACAGGGCCTGGAAGGAGCCTGTGTCACACCCCGGGGGGGGGACGGACACCACCCACATGCAGGTGACTGTAGGAAAAGTGACAGAAATGACCTCATACGCCAGAAACCTGAGAGTGCCTGGGAAGAGAAACGAGAGCAGGTGCTGAGCTGAGCATCACTCGAGGTGCCGGGGAACCTCCACCCACTGCTGCTCCTGAAGGCATCAGCAAAGACCCCCCCATGGGAGCCACCCCGCGGGTGCTGGGGCTGTCCCCCCACAGGACACCGTGCCCAGAACCGCCACAGCCCCCCTTGGCTGTGCGGGGAACCAAGCCCGACTGCGCCCATCCTTTTATTGTGAAATGCGATAAATACACCACTGCCACGCACCCCGCAGCCCCGCGGAGCCCAGCCGCAGAGCCTGGCACCGCCATCCCCTAAATATATATATATATTATATAAAACAACACCACAAAAAGAACAATTAGACCCCGGGGGGCGAGCGCAGGCAGGATGCGAGCCCAGCCCCCTGCCCGCAGCACGGAGCAGGGGGCGCACAGCCAGGCTGGGGGGCTTGGAGTGGGGCCATGAGGGAGGAAAAAGGGGTACGGGGGGGGGCACTCGTGCCCAAATCTTTGTTCTTCCAGTTCTGTCATGCGCGCGAATCCGGCTGCTCCAGAACCATCCGGCTCCCGCTGCCCGTGGCGAGGGGCTGAGCGGCGCCGGGGGACGTGCCCAGGGCCGGTGCTGCCGCCCCAGGAGCGGGGGGGTCGCGGCCGTCCCATCCCCTCGCATCCCTCAGAGGTTGTCGGAGGAGGCAGACGGGTTGGTGTAGGTGAAGGTGCCGCCCCCCGCAATGGTGCCTGCCACCTGGGAGAGGGGAAACAAGGGGGGGTCACAACAGAGCCGGGCTGGGAAGGGCCGGGGGCTGAGCCCCCCCAAAGTCCCCACGAGGCCTGGGGGCGATGGGAGACCCCCTGGCGAGCAGATCCATGGGGGTCAGCCCTGCAGCAGCCAGTGCCACGGGCACCACGAACAGCCGGGTTTTAACCAAAAATACCCATGTGGACACCCCCAGCCCTCCTCTGGGGCTGTCCCAGCCCCCCGGCCACGGGGGCCAGTGGAGGCTCAGCGCAGCCAGAGCAGCCTGGGCCGCTTTTCTCTCCCGCTGGCTAAGCCTGCCCAGCAAGAGCGAAGGTAAATATTTACCCAGGCCCCTGGTATTTGAACAGCGAGAGCTGCTTGCACAGCGCGGAACAGCTGGATACGGCCCCCGCCCCGCAGCACCGGGCACAGCAAACAGCGGGGCCGGGGCCAGCCCCAAATCCCACACCACCGAGGCCAGCCGCAGCCCCACACGTGTGCACGTGGCGCCCGACGCTGCTGGTGCCAGATCTGGACCCCCTCACCCTCCCCTTTGCCCCCTCGTGCCCGGCTCCAGGGTGCCAGGATCTGGCCGAGCCTGAGGATGGGGCGCGGGGAGGCAGCGGTCCCGCCGAGCCCCCACGCACCGGCGAGGGTGGGCAGGGGGGGGAGCGGCTGCCCAAGGTCGCCGGCAGCTTCCTGGCTCCGGCCGGGGCTGCCAGCACCACGGCTCCATCCAGGCAGTGAAAGGTGCGCTCACCTCCCTGCCAGGCTCCCAGGGACCGGGGCCACCAAGTGCCCGTCCCCACCGGCTGGTTTCATCCTGCCGGCTCCATCAAGGGCAGGGGTGAGGGATGCGGCCGCACCGAAAAGTGGTGGCCCTGGCACCACCCCGGTGCCAGGACACCGCGGGCGCCCGGCTCTCACCTGGCTGTAGGGGTTGTGCTTGGTGTTGGGGGACACGTAGCGCCCGTGGCTCTGGTACGGGGGGTACTGGGCCATGGGGTGGTAGGAGTCCTTCGTGCTGAACAGGTCCAGCTTCCCTCGGCTCTTCCGACGGCAAGAGCAGGTGGTCTGGGGGGGCAGGGGGGCTCCGTGAGGGGGACGGGGTCAAGGGCCCAAAGGCAGCGGGGACGGGGACAGGGGCTCAACAGCAGAAAGCCGGAGAGGATGAGGATGGGGACTCACCAGGAGAGCACAGATGAGGATGCTCAGCAGCACCAGGATGCAGACCAGGACCAGCAGAGCAATGGCCCAGTCCGGAACCTGAGGCTGCTCCACCGGGGCCGTCACTTCCACGCCACCTGAAGAGCGGCAGAGCCGTGTCCGTACCTCCGGGCACAGCCCCGCCAGACCCCCGGGAAGGGGCCAGAAGGGAAAGAGCCCTTCTCCCCTCGGGCCCAGCCCAGCACCCTGACACAGGCACTCGTCCCACTTGTCCCAACAGGGATAAACCCAGGACGGGTGCAGAAGCCACCCAGAGCGGCCGTGCCGGGCTCCCCCTGCTCAAAGCACCCCCGGGGCCCGAGCCCCCCACTCACTTTGGATGTCGGCCAGCTGCAGGTCCATGATGTACCCGTTCGAGTCCAGCTGGCTTCTCAGCTTCTTCTCGGCAGAGTCACTCGTGACGGAGTCCTCGCTGTGCCCAAACACGAGGGTGGATTGCACCGCCACCGACCCTTGGCTGCGTGAGAGAGGAGGTGTTGGAGCCAGGACCGCCACCTCCCGCTGCCCCCTCCCGGCTGTCCCCCCCCCAGGGGCTCTGCACTGCGCTGGGCTTCCCAGCCCGAGCCTCCCGCCCACGGTACCTGAATCGGAGCTCACTGCATCCCTTGTAGGTCTGCCTGCCCATGCAGCTTGTGCAGCCAAAGACACTTTCAAACTGGAAAAAAAAAAAAACATTGGGGGGGTCACGACCACCTCCCCAGCTCTCACCCCACTGCCTCCCAACCCCAGCATCCTCCCCTTCACCCCAGCATGGCCCCATCTCCTGCTGCCCCCACCTCTCTGCCCAGTGGGACGGGGCTGCAGAAGGAGCTCACAGAGCCCAGGGTGCATTTACAGGGAGCCCCTGCCTAAGGTGGCTCCTTCCTGGCACAGACCACGAGGTCTTTGCTTGCTGAGGGCAGCCAGCGAGCAGGGCTGGCACTCACCATGGTCAGGACAGCGCGGCTCAGGCTCCTGTACTCCTTCGACGTGGGATCGAGCAGGCTCTGGCTGAAGTTTCTGTTCAGAATGCGGAAGGACAGCGGGACGCGGAGGAGCAGCTGGACCACGGTGGGAGGCAGAGCTGCGGCTTTGCTGGGGTTGGGACCCCCGCTGCTCCCGAGCACGGCCATGGGGGTCTTGCTGTGCGCTGTGCTGCCCTGAGAGGTGACAGAGGCTGTCTTTGTGGGGACAACCTCGGCGCTGCTGTTCGTGGTGGCGTTGGTCTTGGACGTGGGACCCACGGAGCTGCCGTCGGTTGCGGTGCTGGCTTTGGAGGGGGGGACCCCATTGCTGTCATTTGCGCTGATGTTGTTGTGGGGGAACAGAGGGATAATGGAGACAGTCACCACGGTGCTGTCGGTTGTGTCATTGCCGGCAGAGCTGTTGCCCGTTGGGAACACGGTCACATGGGGGGGGACAGAGCCGTGGGACCCGTTGCTGCTGGTGTTCTGGGAGGTGGCGTTGTTCAGGGTGGGCGTCATCACCGTTGTCTCAGTGGTGGTGGTCTCCACGGTGGTGGTCTCGGTGGTGGTGGTCTCTGTGGTGGTTGTCTCGGTGGTGGTGGTCTCGGTGGTGGTGGTCTTGGCGGTGGTGGTGTTCAAGGCGTGCGTACCTGAAGGACAAAGGGGGTCAGGAACTGGGGCTACAGCATCAATTTGGGAAGAAATTCTACACAACGAGGCTCCTTCACGAGACCCTTCTCAGGACAAAAACGTGCAGAGAAGTCCCACAACCTCCACGAGAACAACGCCTGCAAGGCCAGCGAGAACTTCAGGAACATCCCCGGTGAGACTCATGCTGGGCGCACGTGGCACGAGCAAGGGGTGCCTGGGTGGCTGCCCCGTGCCCAGCCCCGCAGAGCCGTGCCCCGCTCAGGACCCACCTGCCGCGCCGTGCCACTAAAACCTTTGTGATGAATGCAAACGGCTGGGCTAGGAAGGCAGAAAGCCCCAGGGCGCTCACAGCCCTGCTCCCGGGACGTGCATCGCCTGGCTCGCGGCCAGCGCAGGCGGCTCCTCGCGGGCGCTTTCCCAGCAGGTGCCGCAGGAGCCCTGGAGGAGCGCCCGGGGTCCGGACGTCTTGCCGAGGCACACTGCCCGCATACCAGCCTGCTGAGCCCCAGGCACAGCCTGCTTCCATCCAGCCCCAGCACAGCCCGTCCGCCCCGTGCTCAGCCCCGGCCGATCCCTTCGGTCGGCTGCTAAAAGGGACATGGACACCACCAAGGGCTGAGCAAGGTCCCCAGCTCCTGTTTTTTTTTTTTTTTTTTTTTTGGAGGGGGGACAATCAGCCCTAGGGCACTGCACCCCAGGGACAGAGCGCACCAGGTGGTGATGCACCCGCTGCTGGGTGCTGAGGGTCACGGGGTGCCACCAGGTCCCTGCTCACAAAACCAACTGGGAGACCCCCCCCCTCGCCTCCCCACCCCGTTACCACCCCGCACCCCCAGGTCCCAGCCCAGTTCCCACCAGCTCGAGGTGCCACCAGCCCCCGGTGCCACCAGCCCCCGCGTCTCACCTGCACCCAGCACCACGAGCAGCAGCGGCAGAAGCGCGGTGACCTCCATGGGGCTCGTCCAGGGGGGGCCCAGTGCCTGTGGGGGGGGCTCAGCGGCAGCTGCTCCTCCCGTTAGGCAGCGGTGTTGCGCGGTCGGGGACTGGTGGCTCAGCGGCGGCTGCAGCTTTATAGAGCACCTGGAGCAGGTGGGGAGGCCCCACCCCGCCACCAGCCCCGACCTGCACGTGGTGAAGGGGGGGCCCCTCCACCCTGCTTGATGCAGGGCACGAGGGTGCCATCCCAGCCCCGGGACCCCTGGGGCACTCTCCGTCCTGTGCTGGGGTCCCCCTGCAGCTCCGTGCCTTCCATCCTGGGGTCCCCTCGTGGCTCTGCGCTCTCCCAGTTTGGGGACTGGGGAGGGGACCCTGCCACAGCATCCCCCCCATGCCATGGGACGTGGCCTAGGGCAGGGGCATTGGTTTTGGGGTCCTCGTGCAGGGGGGTCCCGGCTGTGTCATGGCTCCTGGGAGCTGGTGGGGAGCATGGGGTGGGGGCTGGAGCCCCGCAGCCCCCCTGTAGATGGGGGGCCTCATCCTCTCATTCAGCCTGGGGTTAATCATTACCGGCCCGGCCACTGCCTCGCCCTACACTCAAATAAACTCTGGCACCCCCCCACCCCAAACTGCTTACGCAGGTGAGGCCCAGGGCCCCACTAAAGCCCAGTCCCTCCCCACCGCCAAATGTCCCCACCTGGTCCCTGGGCTGGGCACAAGGGTCCCGGGGGGCACAAGCCCCCCTCTGCTGCTGGAGAAGACTTTTCTGCTCGCCCCGGGGGACACCAGGAGCAAACCCCGTGGGGGGGACGTGGCCCCCCAACGCCTGGTGCCAAGCCGGATGCCCGAGCCCCACCCCAGAGGCACCAGGTGCCACCCAGGCCAGGCACAGAGCCCCCATCCTCCCCCCGGTGCCATGTGCTCCCCCCACGTCTGCGGGGTCCTTTCTGCCCTCCTACCCCTGCCCAGGGGGGAGAGCCCCAGTTCCTGTGGAGGGCTCGGGGTCCCAGCCCCAAACTCCCCCCCCAGCCCCATGCAGGGGGTACCGCTGTGCACTGGGGAGGTGGGGGTGGTCTGAGGGTATTGGGGCAAGGGGGAGGGCAGGAGAGGGGGGACCCCCGGCTGCAGGAGCAGCAGCACAAAGGAGAGGCTGCCCGGGCACCAGCCCATCGCGTGCGGGACCCACCTGCACCCAGTGCCCGCAATGGGGCTGCGCCTTCCCCACCCAGCCCCTCACCTCTGTGCCCAGCACCGGGGACGGGGGTCCCAGGCTGCGAGCCGTGCCCCCCTCCCTCGACCACCCCCCAGCTCAGCACACGGGCACAGGTTTGTGGTTGTCGTCGTTTGGCTTTGTTTTTGGCTTTTTTATGGGCTGCGAAACTCCTCTTAGCAGAAAAACACAGAGGGGGGGGGGGGGAGGAAGGGGCCAGGCACCCGGAGCTGCGCCCCCAGCGCCCCACAGCACCGGGCTCGGGAGCCGCGGGGCCGGGCTCCCCCCCCCCCCCCCGCCCCCCCTCCACGCGTGGACGCTGGGGCACGAACCCCACGCGCGCCCCCGCCCCACGCGCGCCCCCGCCGCCCCGCCCGGCGGCGCTGGAGCTGCGGCGCCTCCTGGCGGGCGCGGCCCCGCGCAGCAGCCAGCACCGAGCCCCGGTGGAGCGGAACGGGACCGGCACCGGCACCGGCACCGGCACCGGCACCGGCACCGGCACCGGCACCGGCACCGGGGCCGGGGCCGGGGCCGGGGCCGGGGCCGGCAGCGGAGCCCCCCGCGCCTCCGTGCCCCGCCGCAGCCCGCTCCCTCGGGCCCGGTGCCGAGGGATGCCCGGGGATACGGGCACGGGACGGGACGGGACGGGACGGGACGGGACGGGACGGGACGGGACGGGACGGGACGGGACGGGGGCAGGCACCGCTCGGTAGCGGTGCCCTGCCCGTCCCGTCCCGTCCCGTCCCGTCCCGTCCCGTCCCGTCCGGTGCCGTGCCCGCAGCCCCTCCGCTCCTCCCGGTACCGGCAGCACCGTGCCGGCAGCAAGCACCGCCCCATCCCCTCCAGGCTCCGGTACCACCGGGGACGGCGGCTGCCCGGTACCGGCCGCGTTGCCCTTTGAAGAGCGGGGCCCGCAGCGGGGCCGGTGCCGGGGCGGGGCGGGGCGGGCTCGGGGGAGGCGGGGGGGGGGAAGGGGGGGGGGTCGGGCCGGGGGGTGGTGGGGGGGGGGGGGCACATTCCGCCGCGTTGCCGGGCCAGCCGTCGCCATGGCGACCGGGCACTGCCGCCGGGGCTCGGCGCTCACGGCGCAGTTCCCACGGAGCGGCCCCGCGCGGCGGCGGCGGCGGCGGCGGCTCCGCTCCGGTCCCTCCGGGGCGGCGGCAGGGCCGGGATGCGGTGCAGTGTTGTGCCCTCGCCTACCAATATTGCACTCGTCCCGGCCTCCCGCCGTCCCGGGTTCCGCCGGTAGGACCGGGGTAGCACCGGGCTGACCCCCCACCCCCCCGCCCCGACGACCCCACCGGGAGGACGGCGAGGGAAGGAACCGGGAGCACGGGGCGGGAGAGGGGAGAAGGGGGGGGGGAAATGGGGGCGGGAGGGGGCCGGGGCCGCCCCCTAGGAACGGGGCGCGCAGGCGAAAATCCGGTGGAAACTTTATGGCCCGGCGGCGGGCGAGGCAGGGCCGGGGGGGGGACGCGGCCCCGCCGCCCACCGGAGCCGCCCCGCCGCTCCCGGCACTGCAAAGTCCGCGGGTGGGGAGGGGGCGTCGGGGGGCGGCGGAGCCCGGCCCGAGCCCGGGTGCCGCAGGCGGAGGGGGGGGGCCCCGGGCCGGGCGGGGGCGGCTCACTCGCGGCCCTCCAGCAGGAACCGGCGGAAGGGCTCGAAGTCTGCGGGGATCGAGTCTGCGGGGCGACAGCGGGGAGGGGGGGGCGTGAGGAGCCGGGGGGGGGCTCGGCGGGGGGGCTCGAGCCCCCTCCCGGGATAGCCGGAATCCCCCCCGAGCTGCCCCAGGGAGCGGGACGAACCCCCCCGGGCACCGGGACAGGCCCTGGCCCACGCGGGGGGAGCCCGGGGGGACTCCCCCGGGGGTGGGATTCCCCCTGGGGGGGGCTTCCCGCTCCCCCCCCCATCTGCCACGGGGCAATAGGGGCGAGGCTGCTCGCTCCCTGCCCCGGTGTCCGGGGGTGTCCCGGTGCCCGGGGGGGTCCGGTGCCCGGGGTGTCCCGGTGCCGTGGGGGGCTCCCGGTGCCCGGGGGGGGTCCCGGTGCCCGGGGGGAGCCCCGTGCTCACCGTTGCAGCGGTACTGCAGGTTGGACCAGATGATGTTCTCCTGGGAGAAGCAGAAGACCCCCAGCCGCCCCCCGCGCATGGTGGTGTCGATGATCACCCCCGAGTCCGCCACCAGCCGCGGGCCTTCGTACAGCCGGACCCTGGGGGGGGGGGGCAACAAATGAGGGGGGGGGGGCAACAAATGGGGGGGGAGTCAGCCAGGACCGGGGACCCCCAACCTGGGGGGAGTTGGGGGGAGACACCGAGGCACCGCGACGGGGCCCCCGTCGGGGCTGGAGGCGCACCACCGGGGGGGTTCTGTGAGCCCCCCCCCAAAAAAAAAAAAACAAAAAAACACAACAAAACACCAACCCCGCAGGGATGGAGGCCGGGGCCCCCGCGCCGCCCCCGGCCCGGCCCCGCTGCCTTTGTCGGGCGCTTTGCATGTGAAAGGCCCCGGCGGCCGGCGGGGTCTCCATGGCGACGGGACAATGGCCGCGGGGGCCCGGACGGGGCGGACGGGCCCGGCCCCCGGAGCGCCCCCCCCCTCCGCCACCCCCCCACGGCGGCCGCCCCGACGGGCTCCTTAAAGGGGAAAAGCAACGGGGAAGGGGGGGGGCAACGGGGTCGGAGCCATCCCCAGCGGACGGAATCCGCCCCACGGGTCCCATCCCCTCTCCCAGGGGATGCCGCCCCCCCCCCGCCCCGTCGGTCCCACCGGGGCAGGACCCCCCTCCCCACGGGATGTCACCCCCCACTCAGGTCAGTCCCAGCAGGACCAGGACCCCCTCCCCATGCTGTCACCCCCTCCCCAGGGACCCACAACCTCCGAGCTGAGCCTGGCCAGGTTCCTGCCTCCCCCCCCCCGGTGCTGCCAGCCCCAGTACCCCCCCCCCAGTGCCCCCCACTCACCTGATGTAGCCCACCTGGGGCCTGTGCACCAGCTGCCAGCGGTACTGAGGTCTTGTCCCTCCAGCCCACGTTGCGGGGGTCCTTCCACAGCAGGCGGACGTGCTCGGGCGTGTGGCCCGTGTGCCACAGTGCGTTGCGCAGGTGCTCCCCAGGGCCCGTGGAGGACTTCACCGCCTGGGGGGGGGGTGCGGGGCATCAGGGGGACCCCGCCGGCAGGGCCTGAGCCGCTCCGGGGTGGGGGGGACACGGGAGGGTGGCGGCACCCACCTTGAGCTGCAGCCCCGGCTCGGCCACGGCGCGGAAGGGGGTGGCCTGCCAGTACGTCTGCTCCGTCTGCTTCCACATCACCACGTAGAAGCTGGCGCTGTCCTGGTAGCTGAAGATGAAGCCGGCGTAGTCATCGTCGGTGACGGTGTTGACGTGGAAGGTGCCCTCAAAGTCCACCCCGTTGAAAGCCGTGTAGCCTGCGGGTGGGCAAACGGAGGAAGGAGCCCCCTCCCCAGCATGGGGACGGGACCCCGCGCACTGCCTCCACCCAGGGCAGTTTTTACCCCTCTCCATAGGGCACAGAAGTGACCCTCGACCCCCAGCGAGCAGGGGACAAGGATAAAGGGGCTGTCCCACGGGGTCTGCACTTCTTACCAACAGCCAAGCCCGGGTCGCTGTTCATGGTCTGCACAATCTCCATGCCCTGTGGATGAGACCTGGGTTAGGGGCGTCCCCGGGGACCTCCCGGCCCCTCTCCGCTCCCACCCCAGCAGAAACATGGGGGGCAGCACCCACACCTGGTTGAGGACAACCCAGTTGGGATCAATCTGCGCGTCCCCCTCGGGGTCCAGGATGACGGTCTGGTAGGCGCGGAAGTCGGTCAGCGTCACCTCGGCGCTCTCCGGGCACACGTCCAGCTGGTCGATCACCGTGTCATTGTCGAAGTCCTCCTCGCACGCGTCGCCCACGCCGTTCCCTGGGCACACACGCATGGGTCATGGATGGACGGGACCCTCCAGAGGGCTCTGCCTCCCCCTGCCCACCCAACGCTCACCATCCGAATCCTTCTGGTTGGGGTTGGGGATCAGGCGGCAGTTATCGGGGCCGGGTGCTGTGTAGTCAGGGATGCCGTCGTTATCATCATCGTTGTCGCAGTCGTCCCCCAGCCCGTCGTTGTCTGAGTCCAGCTGGGAGCTGTTGGGGATCTCGGCGCAGTTGTCCTTGGTGTCCTGGTGCCCGTCCCCATCACTGGCAGGAGGAACGCAGTCAGGGCAGCACCACAAACCCAGTGACCTGGCACTGAGCTCCAGCACCTTCACCCACCCCAAAGACCCCCGATCTCAAGGACCCTCACCTGTCCTCGTTGGTGTCACAGATGTCCCCTACCAGGTCACTGTCCATATCTGTCTGGAAGAGACCAAAGCCCTAGTTCAGCGGGCACCCTGGGGTGACAGGACCCCAAACCCCGCCAGCCGGGGGGCAGGGTCCTGCAGACCCCAGGACACCCCTGTCTCCACGCGTGCTGGCTGCCCCAGGCCATACCTGAGTCGGGTTGCTCATTTCAGGGCAACTGTCACAGGCATCCCCAACGCTGTCCTCGTCCCGGTCTGTCTGCAGCGGGTTGGGCACCTTGGGGCAGTTATCCAGCATGTTGGGAATTCCTGCAAGGACAGAGGCGTGTGGGTGCCCTCAGCACCCCAGCGTGGCTGTGACAGTCCCAAATCCGCAAGGAGCCCCTGGCCACACGCAGTGCAGCCTCATGAGCCGCTCACCGTCCCCATCGATGTCATTGTCACAAGCATCCCCCTCGCCGTTGCTGTCCGTGTCCCGCTGGTCATTATTGGGCACGTTGGGGCAGTTGTCACAGGCATCCCCAAAGGAGTCGGTGTCCGAATTCTGCTGGTCTTTGTTGGGGAAGAGCCGGCAGTTGTCCTGGAGGGAAGGGAAGGACAGAGATGCCCCCATTGTGGTGGCTGGCAGAGCAGAGCCACGCTCTGGCATGGGTCAGGGCAGGGGGACATCTCCAGTGTGCCCACTGAGACCGTCCCAGAGCCACAAACCCCGGCCTGCTGCCCCCCAGGAGCAGCATCCTGGGGGCACCAGAATCAAGCCAAAGCAAGAAGCTCTGCCCCTCGCCCAGCA